AAAAAAAACACTGAATAAAAGCTCAAAGCTGAAGCTTAAAAAAAAAATAAAATAAACTTGAATAAAATCAAAGAACATAAAGTCCTGGCGTGTTGTCGCTAATGTCGTGAGATCATCCTCAACTCCATCTCTTCCTCCCGGCGGGACAGAAAGCTCGTCAGTGGTGAGAATCCCGTTTTGCACACAATGTTCCCCGAGTGTGAGAGCTGCCTGATCTCACTCCAACAACAACAACACCGAGCAGCTGCTCCGGTTTGCTTTAGTTTCTTTTGTTTGTTCCGGTTTTAAATTAAATGTGATTCGACCGCTGCTGACGTCATTTCCGGGCTCACCTTCTCCAATAGGAAACAGGATGCACAAAAAAAAAAAAAAAGTCTACTTCACTTTTTATTCTTGTAAAACTCCAAAAATATAAGTTAAACACGTAATGAGAGCCAAAATCTAAAATGTGTATCTGAAATATCCAGCTGATTTCTGCAGAGGCGATTATTACAAAACTAACAGCCCTAAGCTGTCTGTATTTCACCTTTCTTGATTCCTGAATACTCTCTCTTTCTCTCTCACACACACACAAAAACTATAAAGCGTGGACTCGTGTTTAAACAGGCTTTATTAACACGTTCTGCAGGTTGGAGCAGAACAGCACGCCTCAGTGTGAGGCCAAAAGGTTTCTTACATTCGTCTCATAATGCAGGAAATACAAACAAGCACTGCCACCTTATATACAGCCAGCTTTCAGGCTTTTGGTCCATTTCAAACAAACTTGTTAACATGCATGATCAAATATTTATCAACACTGACGGCAATGCAGAACAAAAAATATATATTTATTCTCCGAAGAGGCTGCAAGTCGTCTGATGACCTGTAGGAGGAGTGCAGTCCGGTCAAAAAAGGCTGTTTTTGGTTTATTTTGATTAATGACGGAGTGTCAGCTTGGCTTATACTATCCACCCGGAGATATCAGTATTACATAACTCTTTGTGCGTCAAATGTACCATAACTATAAGCAGCTTGATTGCTCAGCTTTATCTAGACAAGAAAAGTGATTAACTGCTTTATCAAAAGCTGTACAAAACAAAAAGCATCAAAAGCACCTCGGAGTCATCGTTTCCAGTCTTCAACACTGACTCAGATTTCACTGCTTTCATAAATCACTGTGTGGTGTTCTCCAAAAAAACATCCACATCAGAAACAATCATCGTCTAGGCTTCTTACAAAATATGGTTTCGAGAAAAAAAAAAGAAGAAGTTTTTTTTAACAGGTGGAGACGAGCGGGTTCATCGTGCAGCTCTACATAGTCGGCTGCAGCAGCTCCTGCAGCTCACACAAAGTATCCTTCAGGGTGACGGCTAACGTCTCTGCGTTCGTCTCCTCGCAGCAGTTGAAGGCGGTGATGGAGAAGTGGACGTGGTCGGCCTGTGGGTTGTAGCAAATGGCGTAACCGTCAGGAACAAGGGGCCCGAAACACATCACGCTGTCCGTGTTAGCCGGCACCTGAAGGAGCACAAGAGAGAAAAACATGAAGGAAGAAATCCATTAGACCAGAAGAAACATACTGATACACTGGGTTGATGTTTGTTAGAGAACTTATGATGAATGTAGGTACAGTCACATCTTCTTTGTCTCATTCTACTGTAAAATGAATCGCCTACAAAGAGACACTCAGACCTCCACACAGGGAAACACACCTGCCCTGTTCGGAGCTTCCAGTGCGTCGCCAGGCCGTACGCTGTGTCCATGAAGATTTTGGGAATGCTCAGCCCTTCCTCGATGGCCTGCAGCTTCAGTCCCAACAGGTGGCTCTCAATGCCGTGGCCTTCAAGTGCCTGAACAGAGCAGGGGGGGGGGGGGAATAGAACAAAGTAAATAAGAATAAATACCACATGACAAAAAGCTGTAGGGAGAAAAGATCCTGTTATTCACCTGATTAGCCAGAGCTGAATATGCATCAGCAGCTTCTCTGAACAGTTGCACTTTAGCTTCCCGCTGTGACGTAAAAACAGAGACGACACATTCATTAGAAAGCAAAACAAAATCATCTTTATTGGTAAGTGGACTAAGACCAAACGAGCGGTTTCTCACTGATAATGACGGATCATCGAAGGCGAGGATGAACTTGAGCGTCTGATTTGTGGGCGAGCGGACGTACTCTGTCCTCCCTCCCCGAAACATCCGCTGAGACACAATACCACAGGCTGCACAGACCTCATTGTGAACTCTATCAAAAAAGAAACACACAGTCACAGCGACTTTCAATCTTTAGTCCTGCTAGTCCATCACCTTTTTAACTTCCAGGAAAAAACATATCTACTGAATGTAAATCATACAACGACCTTACTCTCTGATCAGACATTAAGGAAACATGCTCTGTTGAAGTGCTGACTTCTCTGACAACAATGCAGCAGCCAGTATGTCCTCCTTCTAACTTTAGATTCTGCTCCTGAATGCTCTGGATTTGTTTGGACCAGAGAAGGTAGACCCTTTTAAGAACCCTCCACACGGCTGTTTTGGACGCCCCTCGGTTTGTCAGATATGAGAGCAGTTATCAGGTCAACAGGTGTTGCAGCGATGGAAGCGGTCAAGAGAAGTGGTTCAGATAGAAGTGATTGTACCCGACCTAAAAAGCCTCTGCATGTTTCTAATAAGCTCCACGAGCAGAAACGTGCTCAAACTAGGATCAATATTGGAGATGCTTTTGAAAAATGGAGAGAGGTTAGAACACAGAAAGGTTTACAGACCCATGCAGAGCTGGATAAACACTGAAGCTTCAGTGTCCACCACATGGTGACCTGAGTGAGCATCCACTCTAGAGAGGAGGAGGGGGGGAGACAGCTCTCTATGATGTTTAGAATTTAGACTGCAGTACACTTTTAAAAGCTAGGTGTCAGAGTTACATATTTGTCCTTTAATAATTACTATTATATGGATATATTTTTTTTTATTGTTTTTTAAAGTTATTCTATTTTTTTGCAGGAATGCAAAAATGTGTTTCGTATGAGAAATTGTAAACATACTGATTTTAATGAATGAAGTATAAAAGGAGGATTAATGTACGTTTATTATTGATGGACATCCAAGACATTGTTATCCATCTGAAGTCTGACTCAAAATCTAAAGATATGATCACCATTTGATTTGTGTTTGTTGCTCTCTTTAAGGAGCATGATGTGTTTCATCTCATTCCCTCCACCCCTCCCTCTTTTCAGTCATTTCTTGTTATATTCCAGGCCATATAAAACTTGGTCGGTGTACTCCCCGACAACTAGAAAAAACCCAGAGATGATTGTCCAAGAGTTCCCTGAATATTAACCTTCCTCTATCAGAAACATCAGAAATGATATCCTCTGTTTTGACTGACTCACCTGTAGTAGGCGAGCTGCAGGGCCACCTGGATGAAGGAGTTTGGACTCAGCTTGTGCTGCTTGGGAAGATCTTTGCCGAACTTCTTAAAATTGAACACATTCACGTCCAGGTCGTTGATCAGTCTGTGGAAAATCAAAAACTTGTGTTTTCCAAAAAATATTCCAAAGTCAAGCATCATGCACCAGCAGGGGTCGAGATGTCATGGCACCATATCACACATCATCTGATAATATGGGCAGGAGGAGGAGGAGTTATCGTTGTTCACAAAGGCACAAACAAACTGTTTTATCAGCTACGAGATTCCTCATTGTGTTTAGGAAAAGTCTGCATTCAGATGTTAGATGGTAAAGATGTAAACGTTCTGAAATAATAAAGCTGTGTGAAGAAGTTTTGACGACTTTAAAAACATGTAACAAATAACGTCTTTCTGTGAAGTGAAGGTAACATTCACACAGAGGAGATTTATACCTTTACACTCCTGTGGCATCACTTCACGTCAGTGTTGTGAGGCAAAGCAAACACGACGCTCACTCGATGCAGCAAGGCCGTTCTCTTATCTTTATGAGAGTTCAGCACAGACTCTTTGTTGACACTTGAACACTACTCACTGCTCTTAAGGAGAAGGGAGACACTTACATGTCGAGGTTCTGCTTGGCGTGCTCGATGTCCCTCTTTATTTCTCGGTCGATGTGAAAGTAGAGCTTCTTGGGCATCGGCAGAGGGACCAGCGGGGCTCTCTTTGGGTCTGGCTTCTCACTGCAGAAAAAACAAAACAGATTACTGGTGAGTATGAAAGACGTAAAAGAAAAGCAGACATTTGCATTTTCCTATTAGAGCTGATCACATGAGCAGTCAAATGAAGACTTCCTGAAATACAATAAATACAAGTTTTATCTGCACAATCCATTTATTCACAATGAAAATATAAACATTGGGCCAATCAAATGGAGCCCTGAAGAGCCGTCAGCTACTCATTTTAATGAAAACCTTTATTTTCTGCTGGATTGTGAAAATCTCCGACGGCCAAGAGAAAAAAAGATCACAATTAAAGTTGACCTCCGTTTAAACCATCGAGTGTTGTCATGTTTTAAGTGAATATAGGTAAATATGATTCTGAAAATCACCGACCCAGGGTTGTGTATGGCAGCCAGAGAGGAAGAAATTAAGTGCAAAATAAATTTGAACCTCAAAAGCTTAAAACTCTGTTTACAACATAAATATGTATATCTATATTAAACACCACAGGTGCATCAGAACAACATTGTACATGTCCTGCTCCTCTCACCAGTAGTCCAGGATGTGATGCAGCAGGGTTGCGATGGGCGGACCCTCAGCGGTGGCTTGCTCGTACAGAAGACCCCACGAGCCGTCCTCTCCCACCACAAACTACACAAACAAACAAACAAACAAACAAACAGTGAAGCTCGTGCTCCCTCTGCATCAGAGAAATCTCATGTAACCTTTTGATCGTCCTGTGTGTGGTTACTCCTGCTCACCTGCAGCGTCTTATCAAACCAGCGGTTACCACTGTTGGAGAACGTCCCGCCTCCATGGAGGACCTGCGCTGCTTTACGGCTGGCGTACCTGTCAATCAAAGTGAAGGAATGAAAATCAAGGGAGGTTACTGGCTGAGTATCATTTTATGCTATTTTTTAAATGTTACTCAAAGTTTTTTTGAGTTTCTTTTTTAAAAGCTAAAACAATGAACAATATTATGCATAAATACTTTACTAATCTACCCAGAAGGATTCACGTTATCTACAGCTGGTGCCAGTTAAGATAAACTACAACAGAATACTCATAAAAACATCAACACACAAAAATCTCTTTCAAAAGAGACAAACTGGTCAAATATCTAATACAGTGAATAATGAAACAGCCCACACCTCACAGACTAAATGGACAGTTGACCACCTCACAGTGCAATAAAAGGGTGCAATATTAACCTTAAAAACAAAAACAGTGTAATTATATGATGTGAAAAATATGTGTGCAATAACCTCAGGTGCAATAAGAGATGTAGAAAAACATATTTATATTTTCATTTTATTGTACAGCGTTCCCCTTTGTTCTTTTTTTGTACTATATCTTTGCTTTAATACAGTGTATAACTTCTGTACAGTTTAATTTAAATCACTTAGCTGTTTTTATTTGTACTTTTCTGCTCTTTTTTTCTTATAATGTTATTCTATTTTATATATAATTTTAACTTTTTTGTAGAAGCTGACTCAGGGAGAAACGCACAAGAATTCCAATGTACCTGTCCTGTCCTGTACCTGAGCAAGTGGCAATAAACATCTATTCTATTCTAATGCTGAGGTGATAAGGTGTTTTCAGACCGCAGGACGTTTTTGATTTGATTTATTTTTTTCATAATTCAAGGAACTGTTGGAATCGTCCCCCTTTATAGTGATTCGGCATTGCAGGAAGTATGAACTATTTTAGTTCCTAGAGGAACCTTTTGAGCAGCTGCTTCAGAGCAGGTACTCTCCCATCACGATGGTGGTGCGAATGTAGACAAAAAAAAAAGTCCCCATGTTGAGTAGTTCTTAAGGAACTCCCTAATGAATAGTTCCTCTTCAAAAAGTCCCCAGAACTCTGAAAACACCTGATGAAGGACT